CGAGCAGCCCCCCAGCTCCAGCGAGGGCTGTCGGCCGGGCGGGGCTGCTCCCGGGGCGGCGGCAGAGCGGGGTCGTCGGGCAGCCGCGATGTTGGTTTTTGGGGGCACCTGAACGGGGGGGGAGGGGGGTTGCTCCTCGCAGCCTCTGGGCGCAGCGCCCTTCTCCGGGCAGCGGGCAGCGTCCCCGGAAGCCGCGGAGGACAGTTCTCCCACCCGTGTAGTTGGTCTGATCGGGGGTATCGCGTCCCCCGCGGGACCGAGCCCCGCCGCGCGTGGCCCCTGATCCCCCCCTGGGCCGCCCGAGGCGGCAGGACGTGGAGGTTTGTGTCGGACTCTGCGCTTGCCCAGTGCCCGGCCCGGCTGCTTCGTCAGGGCATCTCCAGGAGTCGGCAGATGGTCTGGGCTTAATTGAGCTGTACGTGCGGGGACGTCATCGCTCCCCGGCCAGGGTGTGTCGTCTCCGGGGCCGAGCAGCGGGGGGGGTCGGATTGATTTCCGTCTTCCTTGGATCCTCTGACCTGTTGCTTCGGGGATCGCGGCTTTGGCGTCCGGGGACGGCCCAGGCTGCTCTTTGTCTGCTCGTGCTGTGACCGTCGTGTCCCTCGCTGGCGGCCGGGGAGGAAGCGGAGGCTGTGCCACGGGTGTCTGCAGGAGCCGGGACTCCCGGCTTGCAGCGCCAGCTCTGGGTTTCGGAGGTCGGGTAGGAAGCCCCGTTTCCCTGAAGTGGGGCGGAAAGCGGCGCAGGGCGCCTTGGAGACTGGCTGGGTCGGAGAGCCTGAGGTTTGCAGGCACCAGCCTGCTGCGTCGGATGGGTAGAGGCTTTAAAGACCTGAGTTTTCACTCCTATTTTCTTGCCCTCAATGTTATTCTTGCCCCTGTTTTCTTCCCCAGCAAGACCTGCAGAAATAGGAGGGGGCACTGACCACCCTTGGCTCGTTAGTGAAGCATGTCTGTGATGGCAGTGCTTGTTCATTAGAGGTAACGAGGTCCTGCCCAGCACCTCTAGATCCCCTCCCCAAGTGTTTTACCAGTGGAAGCAGCGTCCTTGCCCCCATTCTACAGGTGGGGAACCCAAGGTGCAGGGAGGGGGAGCAGATTGCTTGTTGTCACCCAGCAGAGTTAGGATTCGAACCCTGTGCCAGCTTTGTGCTCTGGCTATTAGCCCAGGCTGACTCCCTCAGCTGGGCTGGGTCTACCGTGCTCTTCTCAAGCAGGGGCCTGAAGACCTTGATAGGCTGGGCCACTATACCCGTTTTACAGACTGGGAAACTGAGGCTGTGTGACTGTAGATGGTTATAACTGCTGATCTCTGTGCACTCCCAGCCTGTTTGCAGGGTGTAGGGAGAGGCCACTGTTGCTGCCCCCCAGAGCCGTCTTTCTTGTACCACCACCAGGCTGGCCTGGCAGCAGCACCAGGGCTGGGCAGACCCGAGCGTTTGGGCCGGCGGGAGGGGTTTACGCTGTAGAGCTCCCAGTGGGAGCGCAGCATAACCCAGATCCCTGTCGGCACGTGCTGGTGGGGGCTGACCTAGGCAAGCATGCGGTGAGGGCAGTTGGGGGGCACGAGGCAGCACCGCTCTAACCAGTCACCACCTTTGCCCTGCACCACTGCATCCCATTGCCGCCGGGACATGGGAGTACTGGATTTGGCAGCCCCTGTGGGGCCCAGCCCTTGAGCCAGCACCACCTCTGGGCTCTTGCCTCAGCTCCTGTTCAGGTGCTCCCACGTTCCAGCTGCTCAGGCCATGGTGTGTGTCCCGCCCCCCAGTAACAAAAGGGCTGCGCTGTGGATATAGTGGTGTTTGTGGGGGTGGGAGGAGTCCTATCCCTGCCCTTCCCAGCTCTGCCAGGGACACTTGTCACTTGTCAGGCCAGAGAACAGGACAGCTCCTATTTAAGAGCGTCCTTAGGTCTGGCCTTGTGCTGGGGGTTATTTCTTGCCAGTCTGATCCCAGTTGCTTCTACTGGGGGGAGTGACTCCTCCCTCCAGCACTGGGACAGCTCGGCTGGTCTGCCTTTGGCCCTGCTTCTTGGGATGTGCCTGAGGCCATGCCAGCACCTGGGGCTGTAGGCCTGTAATTGCCCTGGGAGAGGTAAATGGCACAGCTCCCATGGGCCACGCGAGGCCTCTGGTCTCTCCTGGGGCTGCTTCTCCATTAGGAGCGGGGGGTTGCAAATGCAGTTGACTGCAAACTGCCTGCCTTGGAGCTTGCCCGGGATGGCACGTGCAGGGTGAGCTGGACCACGGTTGGCTGTACTGGTTAAGATCAAGAGTCCAATGGACCCAGACTGGATCTGGGTGGCCGGGGGTTCTTCATGGGCTGGCAGCAGCTGAAGCAGGTCTGCATTTGCGTGCTGGTGTCGTGTCCATCGGGGTCTCGGTGCTCCCACAATATTCAGAGGACTGAATCCTGGCTGGTCAGATCCTGCTTGCAAGTTCCTGGGCTTAGTCCTTGTGTGGACACTCTCTCATTCTGGGATAAAAGGCCACGCCGGGGCTAGCACCCTGCTGCTTATTCCCCGTAAGGACAGTGGCTTGGTTGGCCTGGCCTTGGCCCCTGTGCTGGCTGTGTTCCTGGAGAACCATGCTGCCTGGGGGGGGTCCTGGTGGTGTCTCCAGCTCAGCCAGACCTCCACTGAAGTCAGGAGCCCCCCTCCTGCCCTGGGGGCCTGGAAGTGGGCACATTGAGATGGTAATGCGGGAGGGGCAGCAGGAAGGAACACAATGGCTGGCCCATCCCATGCATAATAGCTAAGCCCTGGTAGCCCTGGAGAGAGCAATCAACCCCCAGCGATTTCAGATGGCTGGTCAAGGGGGGGCAGGATCCAGGTGCCCCCGAGCCATAGAAAGGCCCTGCCCCAGCTCTGGGGCAGGCCGGGCAGCGGAGGCGCAGATTCCACCAGGCTGAATTAATGATTAAGCTCTGGAAGAGCCTCAGTCTTGGCACTTTCACTGTGGATGAGGCCTTCCAGTTCTCAGCAAGGAATGCCTCCAGCGCAGAGGCAACTAGGCCCGTGGGAGGACTCTAGGGGAGGGTGGGGGCTTTATCGCGGCTGCACCGTGTCCTTGCCCTCCTTCCTGGAGGAGGGGTTTGGTCTCTGGATCTCTGCCCACAGCTGGGGGGCAGGCGGGGAGCGTGGGCTGAGCCTGGCCCCAGGAGTCAGCGCTTCCTCTGGGATGGGACAGGGGAGCCGTGTGCTCAGTTATAGCAGAGCCGGGCTCAGAGCCAGGGCAGGCAGGGATGGGGACATGGGCAGGAGCTGTGCGGGGCAGGACTAGGGGAGGAAGGGGGTCCCTGAAGGGGGCTGAGGAAGGGATGCAGCGTGGGATGCACCCACTGCCCCACCAGCCGGGCAGGACACGGTGATGAGTCCTGTCTTGCGCTGAGCTGTGCCAGGCCGCTTGGTGTGGCGGGGGGGGTGTCTGTGCAGCCCATCTGTCAGGGGCTACATCCCCTCTGCGCAGTGTCTCCGTGTCATGAGAGCCCTAACGGCTGAAATGTCTCATGGGCTGAACCCCAAGGACTAGGGCAGCAACCTCTTCCCAGATGCAGCCCTAGCCACATTGCTTGGAAAGGCACTGGGGACACCAGGATAGCTCTTGGGGCAGATCCATCACCATTCGAAATGCCATCTGTGTGCCCCGGCCCCGCAGCGAAATAGTTGGCACTGCTGGCTGCATCCCACGCTTCAGGGGTAGCCGTGGTTCTCCAGCTCCTTCTGGAGAGGCCGGTGCAGGCTTAAAGATACTCGGCCACGAGCCTTTACTGAGCCACCAGCCTGCGGGAGCCCGACGCAGGGGCCCTGGGCAGTGTGTTGAGTTTCTCAGAGATGCCAACCCCACCTGCTGACCAAATGCCATGCCGGGTGTCTTGGAGAAGCCAGCTTCTTGCCCTGCCCTAACCCCCTCCCTGGCTCACCCCCTCTCAATGCCTGTGCCTCTGCTCTGCCATCTGTAACCTTCTGTAAGACTCTGCTCTTGTCCTTCGTCGCTGGGAATTGAGCTTTCATGGAAGGCTCCCAGCACCCATCCATCTCGGTTGGATGCACCGTGCAGGCTGACCAGAGCCCCAGGCTGAGTCGTGCTGGGCAGGGCCTGGGTTGTTGGGTGGTGGGAAAATGCTCTGCTGCTGATTTGCTGGGGGCAAGGTGAGAGCCTGGGTATTCGGTCGCAGGGCAGGGACATATAGGGTGAGGGAGCTGGGAGAAATGCTGGGTAAGGCGTTGGGGCGCCTGGGTTCTCTTCCTAGCTTGGCTACTTACTGCATGACTGCAATCCAGTGCCTACCTCAGTTTCCCCCCCTGTGAAATGGGGCTAATTCTTCCCTCTGAGCTGAGGATTGCAAGGAGCTTTGAGGGGCTGGGCCTGGCTGGATCTGGGGACAAGTGGCAGCTCCAGCATTGAGACACGGGAGACAACAGGTTAACTGGCAAAGCAGGCACTCATGAGGGCTGGGGGAGGGGGGGCATTTGCTTGGCTCCAGCACCTGCTGAGTCCCTTTGTTCCTAGTTTACCTCGACAATGTCTGCCCCTAATGGCTCCAGCAGCCCCAGTCAGGTGGGTACATGGCTAGGGGGGCACCTGTAGTCCCTGCTGCTGCTGTTAGTGGGAGGGGGTTTCCCTTGAGACGTTTTAGGAATCCTCAAGCACTTATTTCAAGCTAGCCCCAGCCCGGTCTTGCCCTGGGTTTTCTTAGCACCTTGGCTACTGTCTCGGGGATCCTGTCCCTGCCTTGCGACAGCCCAGGGAGACTGAGGCACAGGGGTGTGTTGATTTAGATCCTACCCCCGCCTTGCGACTCCCCAGTGTTGCAGCAGGGGAAATTGAGGCACAGGCTCATAGCTTGAAGGCCTGGCTGGGAAAACCAGGCCAGAGTTTCTCCCTGCTGTCGCCTGGCCCAGTGAATTTGGAGCCAGGCTGTTTCAGAGCAGCCTCACCCAGGGGCAGGGCTCCCCGCCCTGCACAGACAGTCCGGCCCTGATCCTGCAAAGGGGCCTTGGGGAGGTCTGATGTGACTGGCACCCAGATACTGTCATGTGCTGGGGGACAGGATGAAGCCCTGGCTGGCTGGACCCCCCCCCCCCCCCCCGGAGTCCACTGGGTGCAAAGGAGTTGTCTCCTCCCAGTCCTGGAGACCTCGGCCTGGCAGATCCACCGGACCTCCACCCCCTCCCCATTTAAGCAGCAGCCTCGGATCACTGGATGGCCGCCCTGGCTCGCCGCATGGCTGCCCAGCTCGCCGGCTGGCCCCGCCGCGGCCCTGGCTCCCAGCATTGGCAGATGGCAAGGGAAGGCGGGGCTCCGCCCGCTAATTAGCTGGTGTTGCTGGGGGCAAGGCAGAGAGGGGGTGGCAGGGCTCGGGTATTCCTGCCTCCGGAGCCAGCACAGTGGTGACCACTGCCCAGCGCCGGCCCCCCCTTCCCCAGCACTGGCTGCGGCCTCCCCTCCCACTGCAGCTGTCCCTGCCCTCCCCATGTCACACGGGGTGCTGGTTCTTGTCTAACCGGCCTGCCTTTCTGTCATCTTCTCCCCCCCTTTCTCCATCCCTCCCCAGCAGCCCTGCATCCATGTGAAACCTGAGCCTGCTCCAGCCCTGCCCCTTGGCTCCACTCCTCCACCAGGCTCCTCTCCATAAGGTTAGTACTGCCCGGGCTCCATGGCTGGCTCCGCGATGGGGACCGTGCCGCTCCCCGGCCTGGCTCTGAGCGAAGTCTCCTGGGAGCTAGCGTGCGCTGGGGAGGCGGTGGGCAATGCTCTGGGGAAGGGGCCGTGTGGGGATTGTGGGGGCTGGAGGAAGGTGAAGGTGCTTTGTGGAGTTTGAGGGGCGATGGCAACAAAACTACACCCTGGGTTTGCAAAGCCAGGGTCTCCTTTCTGCCGCACGATGTGGGGTGACGTCCTGGCCTGTCCCCAGCTCTGCCCCTGCATGTCCTCAGTCGGCTCCCCCTTCCCTTAATTGGGGAAGGCCTGCTTCCAAGTGGGTTTTGAAGCTTGTCTTTGCATCTCCCAGTGAAAGCTGCTCCTCCTACCCCAGGCTGCATCTTCTTCCCTGGATCCCTTCGTCCCTCTTGCATTCAGTGAAACAACTGCGGTTCCAGGAAGCAGGAAGGGTGATTTGTGGGGCAACTTGTGGAGCCTGCGAGCTGCCCGGCAGGACTCCCACGCGGATGCTCTCCCGTGTTCCCGGAGACGCCGGCCTAGGTGTGGCCCAGTGCAGGGAGCAAAGCATGCTGGAAGCTGGCAGAGGGAGGCAGAGCTGGAAAACAGCCAGCTTGCAGCACACACGGGCACTCGGATGCCCAGCTTCTTTTGCCAGCTTGGCCTGGGCTGGTAACTGGGTGCAGACGAGGCCCCACGCTAGCCCCACCAGAGCACGAGTACCTGGCAGAGGGCGAGCTGGGTAGTTCTGCATATCTAGCCTAGATGGGTGATAGCTAGTTCTGCACCTCAAAGGTACCTGTGTGTGGTGGGGGGGAGAAGACTGACTGCCAAATGGTCACGGCCTCCACAGTGCCATCTGCAAGTGGTGTTTTGCTGGGGAGGTGAATGCCGCCTCGGGATCTGCACACACGCGCGCTTTCACACCGCCGCGGAGGATGGATTTCTAATAAGCTGACAGCCGCACAGCCTGTATTTACCGAGCCACCGATCCTTCCTTCGGATCTGTTAATGGGAGGCTGGCAGGCTAATGATGTCTTTTAAAGGATCTCTTCCCCTCTCCAAGATGGATGGGTTTTGGGGGGTTTTGTCTCTGGGTTTGTTTTTTTTGGGGGTGGGGGTGGGGGGTGGCTTCTGCTCCCTTCGGACAGTCAGGTGGCACGGTTCCCTCTCCCTTGCTGTTTGTTCAGGTTGCTTCTGGCTTCCCTGCATTTTCCCTCAAAGCACAATGGGTCTTGGAGACCCCAAGCTGGGGGAGAAGGCCGTCAGAAAGGCTCTTTGCATCTTATTTCTGTTTCTAGGGGCTAGCCCAGCTGCTTGGGGGGTGGTGAATCCATGCCCTGCAGGGCACCCCCTCACCCCCCCATAAGGGAAACAGCTCCCTGCCTTTAAAAAAAAAAAAAAAGTAGGGGAAGGGGGGAAGTTCCAGTTAAATCGGCCCTTTTCAAGTGCTCAAAGCACTGGTTTTGGTTGCAAAAGAAACCTGCCACTTCCCCCCCACCCCTTTTTTTTTTTTATCTGAATGATCTTGAACCACAAAATCCGGGTCCCGGTGCTGCAAAGCAGTGAGTGCAACATTGTTTTTTGGGGGTTTGTTTTTCTTTCTGACCTCGCAGTCGCGTGTTGGGCAGGGCAGGATCTGAGTGTAGGGGGCCCAAGGTGGCCTGGGGACTTCCTATGCCCAGGCTGAGCTTGGCACGCCTGTTGTCAGTGACTTTTTCAACCCCCCAGCCCCTTGCTCACAGGCGTGTTGTCAGCAGCTGGGAATCATGCTGACAATTAGCACCGATGTTCCCTGCAAGCACAGCTTCCAGGGGGCTTTGCCCCCGGGAGGGGGATCGGAGCAGGCGACGGACAGTCGCCAGTTGCCAGCAGCGTGGGGACTGGGGCAGGGGGAAGGGAAGGCACAAAGGCTGGAAAAGCGGAGCCAGGTGCTTCAGGCCCTGCGTGGCTGCAATTCCTCCCCCACCTGCTCAAGGTCTTGTGAAGATTGTCTGCTCCAGCCTTGGCCCCAGGTCCCTGCTGGCAGGGAGATTATATAACACCTGGCACTACTTTTGCTCATTAAAAACAGTTGCTCTCGCTGGGCCCACAAAGGCTGAGGCTTTTTAGCAAGGGATTGGCTTTAAAAATAGCACCAGGAGCTATGGCATGGAGCGAGCTCCCCGGCTCTGCTGTCTGGGGCCAGCAGGGCTGTCTCTCTCTAGCCCCAGGGTGCCCCCCCCACTCTGCCGGCGTGGCTCAGGGGAGGCCACGCGCCGCAGGCCTGCGAGCCGGAGGGGACAGCGCCAGGCTTTGTCAAAGGTTTCCTCTGTGCCTCGGAAGCTAATCCACTCGGGTCATGTGATTCTCCGGAGCTCGGCCGTTCCCGGCAGCCCTGGACGCTGCGACAGGCAGGGCTGAAGGCCTGTGCGTGTATGGGGAGGTCGGGGGCATGGGTGGGGGGTGAGGGCAGCTTTGCAAGTGGCATCCGGCAATTGGGTCGCAGGGTGGAGCCTCTGAGGAGGTGGGGGGCGAAGGGCTGCAGGGAGGCAGGTCCCTGCCTGGGTCAGGAAGGGGAACAGGAAAAGCAGTTTGTTTGTTTTTTTTTAAAATAGCAAGGCCTTAAAACAGGCCCGGCACGAGGCCCCGCTGCCTTTGGCGGAGCCTGGCGCACAGCTCTGGCACCGGCTCCCAGCTCCAGCTGCCAGCCCCCGCACCGCGCCGAGCAGGGGCCTGCTGCTTCCAGAGCATCGGTGCGCCAAGATGGCTTCTGCGGACAGCCCAGACTCCTCCTCCTGGCACATCGGGGGGGCGGGCGGGCGGATGTCCTTTTTCCACCCTGTGCTCCTTGCTCTCGGGGAGCACAGGGCGCACCCAGCGTCTGAGCGGTGCCAAGGGCAGCAGTCAGGGATTAGAGCAGAGGCTGGGAGCCTCCGATCCTGGATGGCACTCCTAGCTTTTGAGGGTCAGCACGCCCGGTACGTGGACACCAGGCTGCCCCCTGTCCCCAGCCCGTGCCTCAGTTTCCCTGCCTGTAAAAGGAGCAACTTGCTGGGGGCAAAGAATCAGGGCAGTTGTTAATAATGTGTCAGGTGCATGAGCCAGCCTGGATTGTATGGTAAGGGGGGACTTGCTTGGGGAGGGGCGCGTGATGGCCCCAGGGAAGGTTGTGCATCAAGGAGCAGTGTCCCTGGGCGCCTGGCTGTTGGGGTGCTGGTGGTATCATGGGGGCTAGAAATGCCTGCCAGGGTGATGTTGTAGTTAAGAGGGCAGCTGGGATTGTGTGAAGGAAGGAAGACAGCACTGAGGAGTGACCAGAGAGCCCTGACCTCTGCACGTGGCTTCAAGACGCTGTGTCCATGTCTGGTTCTGGTGCTTGGGCTTCAAAACCCAAATTGGAAAAGGCCTGCAGGGGGGTATGAGGTCTGGAAGAGTTACCATACCCCGAGAGCCCACTGGGCCTCTCTCTGCCCAGCCTCCGCCAGGCCAGGAGAGGGGCACCGGGGTGGAAGGCAGTCTCTGCTAGCGGGCGCCTCTGAGCGCAGAAGGCCGAGTGAGATGCGGAGGCGCTGGGGTTGGAAGTCCTGCTTGGCCTTGAGGGGGTTGGAGCTGGCTGCAATACAGCTGACCGAGTCACAGGGCTCCTGGCCCTCCCTCTCAAAGCACCGGGGACTCCAGCCACTTGTATGACCCCGAATCCCCTCGTGGCTCACGCCGGTGGGCACGCAGCTCCTGCTGCCCAGCCTCTACCAGCATCTGCGCCATCCCCCTGCGGTATGCAGGGGTGGGTAACACAGGCCTGATTTGGAGCCAGACATGAGGACTTAATCACTGCCCATTTCCCTTCACCCTGGTCTCCACTGCCTCACTGGGTTTGTCTTCCGAGCTCGTGCATATTGCCAGTTTTACTCTGCATGTAGGATTGTTTTGCTCCGTGCCTTTTGCTGTGCGTATGCACTTCACCCAGGCAAGTCCTGCATCTCTGCTAAGAGGTGTGCGCCCGTCGGGGGATAAACTCATTAAAGCAGCTTTTGCAATTGCTCTTCTCCCTTCTGCTGGGAGGCTCCTTTAAAGGCCTCCCTCCTCTCAGCCAGGGTGCACTTGGATCCCAGATAACCAGGCCACGCCATGGTGAATCTGTGCTGAAGCTAAAGAGCATCTTAAATAATCCCTGCTTCCTGTCGGTGCCCCCCTGTTGGCCTGCGGACCGGCTGCACGCTTGATTTAAAATGGAAACTCGGCTGTGTTATGCCCAGCCAAGCCGAAGAGGCTCTTGGTGAACGCTCACTGGGAGCCGGGTCCTTTTTTGCTTAAAATCAAAGGTGCCAGCATGGTTTTCAGTGACATTTTCATTCCATGAGCGATATGCTGACAGCGACGGATGTGGCTGGGTGCCAGGTCATTTAAGGCATGTCACTGTGGATGCAAAGGGGTGAGCCCCCCGTCTGGATTTGTGCTGAAGGTTGGCCCCGGGAGTCCAAGGCAGCCAGCGTAATATTGGGCACTTTGCTCCTGTGCGGTCTGCTTGCTGGAGACAGCGGGTACCATAATCATAGCGGCGCAGTAGGTCACTTCTTGACCTTGTCTCATTTGGTCCTGTCCAGCAGTGAACTGGGTGACACAGGCTACATCTTCCTGGGAAACTGGTGTGCAGTTTGCATCGAGGCAGTTCTGTTGGGTAAATCCTAATGAAGGCGAGACACGCTGGCTTCTGATCTGTGTGGTCCACAGTCGGCTCTGAGAGGGTGGGCGTCGATCTTGAGTCTCCCAGTGGAAAACCAAGCCAGAAGTGCCTCCTCTCCGGTGTTGCTGTACCCAGTGGCCTAGTAACAGAGCCACATGCTTTGGGTATTGTGAAGTGAGGGGTATCAGGGCACTTTTGAAACCCCTGGGCAGGATTGGGGGGCTGCATCTCTGTCTTTGATCCCTCCTGTGACGCTCCCACTCCATGCCTCAATTTCCCAAAGATGAGGCTAAAGCCACCTGCCTTAGAAAG